CAAGCCTTTATGGATTCTAGTTTCTTATGACCTCCTTGGCAACATCACCAAGGCAACTCTTAAAGGGGCACCGAGAAGCTCTCCTGTTTTGCTCCCCATGTCTTGCTTCAGCGCTATCCTCCTTTCATTCCTGAAACTTTCAGGGTATCTTAAGTTAGATTCAGTTGAGAAATGAAATAAACCACTCTGACCAACCTTTCTCTGGCAGTTTTACAAATTCCTCTCACATACACACCCCGCTGATTGTGAACCAGAGGAAAACCAGAAACTTGCTTTCCTGAGGCAAAATGATTTTGCCGAATTATTGGGCCAGACCCTCAGCTGGTACAAACCTGCGATCGGCTTTGCTCCCGTGAAGTCAGCAGGTGATGCTGATTTCCACCAACCGAGAATCTCGCCCAGCTAATGTAGCTGGCGTTGAGAGACCGATGCACTGCAAGGAAAACATTCCATTTGCCTGAACAGAGCTTGCTTTCTGTAGGGGCCTCTGTCTTGTCCTTTCCCGTGTACAACTCCTGTGGCTAAGGGCCAGTATTTCTATATGAAGGCTGTGAAAAAACCATATTCTGCTTGTTGTTGAGAGGACATATAGGGCAGTCAGGCTACTGGTTTGGGGGACTAAGCCGGTGCTAAGAGTGTGTATGTGCAGCTCTCTTTCTCCCTGCCTAGCGGTTAGACCACGTAAAGAGGTTTGAGTTTGCAACTGCCTCTGAGCTAATTGCCTTGGCTGTTTAGCTGAAGCTGTAAAGGCTCTTATGCTTAGATCCAGAGGTTCTGTGTTGGCCCCGCAAAGAGTCCTTAACTTCTGTTGTGTGCATTTGGAGACCTGATATAAGGGGGCATGCATAATGCAGAGGCAGCGTCTTCCTGGTCCCTACAAACACTGCAGCGTTTACCCTCTTAGGGAAAAATTCCAACTCATTATGCTTTTCTGGAGCTGGCCCTTTAAATATGGCACAAACCCTAACCCTTGTGCAACTGGCAGCCTCTTTGCCTTGCAGCTGGTAAGCATAGAATCATAGAATATCAGGGTTGGAAGGGACCTCAGGAGGTCACTAGTCCAACCCCCTGCTCAAAGCAGGACCAATCCTCAACGAAACCATCCCAGCCAGGGCTTTGTCAAGCCTGACCTTAAAAACTTCTAAGGAAGGAGATTCCACCACCTCCCTAGGCAACCCATTCCAGTGTTTCACCACCCTCCTAGTGAAAAAGTTTTTCCTAATATCCAACCTAAACCTCCCCCACTGCAACTTGAGACCATTACTCCTTGTCCTGTCCTCTTCTACCTCTGAGAATAGTCTAGAACCATCCTCTCTGGAACCACCTCTCAGGTAGTTGAAAGCAGCTATCAAATCCCCCCTCATTCTTCTCTTCTGCAGACTAAACAATCCCAGTTCCCTCAGCCTCTTCTCATAAGTCATGTGTTCCAGACCCCTAATCATTTTTGTCGCCCTTCGCTGGACTCTTTCCAATTTATCCACATCCTTCTTGTAGTGTGGGGCCCAAAACTGGACACAGTACTCCAGATGAGGCCTCACCAATGTCGAATAGAGGGGGACGATCACGTCCCTCGATCTGCTCGCTATGCCCCTACTTATACATCCCAAAATGCCATTGGCCTTCTTGGCAACAAGGGCACACTGCTGACTCATATCCAGCTTCTCGTCCACTGTCACCCCTAGGTCCTTTTCCGCAGAACTGCTGCCTAGCCATTCGGTCCCTAGTCTGTAGCTGTGCATTGGGTTCTTCCGTCCTAAGTGCAGGACCCTGCACTTATCCTTATTGAACCTCATCAGATTTCTTTTGGCCCAATCCTCCAATTTGTCTAGGTCCCTCTGTCCCATCTGGTGTGTCTTCCCTTTCTGCGAGGAGATGGCACCTTCTCGCACACGTGTGATCTTTTAAACATTTTTATTTCTTTAAACAACTCCCCCGGGGTGTGTGTGGGGGGGTGTATTTCCAAGCTCTCTGCAGGATGCCCATTCAGCCTACCATGGAAATAGCTATTTAATTATAAATAGCTAGATTAGCCAGCTGCCTCCCCACTCCACCATGTGTTAGCTAGTCATGGTACTTTTTATTTTTTCTTAAAGCCCCAGCTCCTGGAATCATGTGATTATGTGAGGTTTCAGAGTAGCAGCCGTGTTAGTCTGTATCCGCAAAAAGAACAGAAGGACTTGTGGCACCTTAGAGACGAACACATTTATTTGGGCATAAGCTTAGGTTTCTAGCCCTCACAGTTGTGAAGAAAAAATTGAAAACATGACTTCTAAAGGCTCAAAAGGCAAATAAAAACCCCAGTATTATTTTTTAAGAATCTCATGACTTGTAAGACAATCTCATCATTTGGCGGGGGTGGGCTGACTCATGACTTTTGTACCACAGGGGTTGGCCACACTGAGGCACTGCAACACAGATGGTACATAAATCACACACTGATCTTCCTGCCGTAATATTTAGCAGCACGGAGTGACACTGTCCCTGTGGAATTGAGTGAGTTTCAAAAAGTAGCCTCGGGTTCCACACTTGCCCCTCAGTCCCTCTCTCAGTCCTTGTGTTTTTTACAATCACACTTTTTCCTTTTTAATGTATTTTCCCTCCCCTCTTGTTGTATGATAGCCAATTTCTTTTGTTGTTGGCCTATCTGACTGTACAGGGGAAACTGAAACGGATTTATTGGTAAAATGGAAGAAATAAAGTATCTTTTTCTCTAATCTTTCAGCTATACTAATGTTAGGAAAAAGAAAAGGAGGACTTGTGGCACCTTAGAGACTCACCAATTTATCTGAGCATAAGCTTTCGTGAGCTACAGCTCACTTCATCGGATCCGATGAAGTGGGCTGTAGCTCACGAAAGCTTATGCTCAAATAAATTGGTTAGTCTCTAAGGTGCCACAAGTCCTCCTTTTCTTTTTGCGAATACAGACTAACTCGGCTGTTACTCTGAAACTAATCTTAGGCTTTCTCTATAATTTGGCATTTTTTTTTTTTTTTTTTGGCGTTGACACGGCCCCTTTAAGGATGAATTGAGAGCCTTAATTCTGAGAATGTGTTCACGTCTGTGATTATTAAATACCATTCTTAAATGATAATTTAATGTCTTTGTGTGTGCCCACCATATAAATAACCTTTCTTCTTCTAGCTTAGTAATGACCCTATTCTAATGAGAATAGACCTCTAGCAAGTAATTAGCTCTCCATGCTCAGCATTTATTTCCTAAAAGAGGCATCTCTGCATACTGATTTTACTTTTCCCCCAAGTAATTTATTTTGCAGAGCTAATTAGCAGCCCAGCTAAGAGTTCTGTCTTAGCAGTGGTATGCTCTTGGGCTTCTTCTTAAAGAAGGCAAATCATTAGCTTGATAAATATGTGTTTTATGATCGTTTTAACGACTGGATTTGGTCATGAGACAAAGCTGCTTATTCCCTCCTTAGGTATCTAGTTGTGTCCAGTCCTCTGTCCCAGCCGTCAAACCCTTTTCCTTCCCCCAGGGAGTTGGGACCAGAACTACCCCCCCAGCTCCTGGAAATGCTCCCACCAAATCTGAATGAGCAGCCCTGTCCTATCTGCTCACAGCCCTGTCCTATCTGCTCCCAGCCCTCAATCCTCCATTCACAGGTGTCATCCACACTCCAAGGGTTAGAAGATCAATGCCCATTTGCTTATAAAAGTTCACCCATCCATAACTGAGATTAAACGACTGTGTGTATAGGACCTAGACAAAAACAATGCATCACAATGCAACAATGCTTTGGAAGCAGCAGCCACGGTTAACAGTAGTTCACATTTCTAACGATCCCAAAAGAACCTCCAGCACCACGGCAGTCCAGTTGCTTCTGAGGTGGAGTATAGTAGCCAACCAGTGCACAGGGCCCATCCAGTTCTGATTAAAGTCAATGGAAACACTCTTGTTGACTTCAACTGGAGTTGGATCATGCCCTCCATGAGCTACACCAAAGTGGAGGGAAAGGAAAGTGTTGGATACGGACAGCAGGTCAAACCCCTTCTCTTATGGAAAAGTGTTATGGGATCTTCAGTGCCTGCTGATCTAGACAGTGTTTGAGGTATCATCCAAGGGACTCTCCGTGTGAACTGCATGCTCCTGTCTAAACATTTCCACTCCAGCTGGTCTGGAAGGCATCGACCCCCTTGTAAGACAGACTCAGCACTGGGTACAGCTGGTCTCGAAGGGCTTGATCCAAAGCCCATTGACATCCATGAAAAGATTCTCATTGACTTTGGTGGACTTTAGATCAGGGCTTATGCTGTTTGGAGCAGGGGCTTGGTTATTTGTTCAGCATATCCTGCACATCATGAACAACTGCAAGGCTAGAAAGATCCTAAACATTACAGCTGTGATTCAGTGATGCAATTAAGCTTCCCCTAGCTAGGCCCGTGCTTAGTTAGGGGACTGAAGTGCTTTGCTAACTATGTTAAGGTGGTAATCAGAAATTCTTAGTACACTGCCATGGGTGCAAGTCTCAGGGAGTACAAGAAATTAGGGGTCATTGTTCTCTTTTTAGGGCCAGATTCTGACAGCCTTTCTCATGCTGAGAAGCACTGTAATCCACAGGTAAGAAAGGTGAGGCGAAAGGCGTTATTTAAAGGGAGGAAGGGTATGAGAATGCAGCAAAAACAACCAGAACTGTGCAGACTGAGATTTTTTTCCTCCTCAGAACTCTTTTATTTCAAAACCGAGTAAGGTGATTTGGTGAATAAATAAATCAGAAATAGGAGCCAGGAGAAGCCCAAACGAACTTGTCGGAATGGGGTTTGTTTTGCAAGCTGGCTTTAGTTGTTCTCTCCTTGAAACATAGTCCCATTGGCAAGCCAGAGGGACCAGGATCAGTATGATCCTCTGATGAAAAAATGCCCGTGAGACAGCATGGGAGCGTGGTGTCAGTTTCCCCATGGCGCGTCGTCATTGCGGAACTGCCAAGCTGGCTGAAATTCCACCTTGATAAAACACATTGTTTTGTCTGTTCTTTTTTTTCCACACAGAAAGAAATGACAGAGAGAATTTGCCACTGAGGTGATGTCTGACGAGAAGTCTGTCCGTCTCCCCTGGAGCCCACTTGCAATGGGATGGAAATGCAGAATGCTGGACAATCTGACTCCGAGCTCTTGCTGTGGAGAGAACAGTGTTTATATGATCCCAGTCTCTGTTACGTGGATACTTTATTTTTAGAAACCATTGGCCAGAACCGGGATAGGACAAGTGTGTGTGTGTGTGAGGGGTGGTTTAAATACATACCCACAGATTTCATTCTCATCCCCGTGAGCCCTAATCACCTGCTTCTTTATTCCCCCTCAATCCCATCCCCTACACACCTGCTGTGTCCTAAATTATGTGGTTCTCCTTTAATTATGGCACTGATGGCTGGAGGGTGAAATCCCTAGCTAAATGCTCCAGTGATTACATCTGCTCACTAGATTGTGACCCTATTTTAATGACAATAGACCTCTAAGCAAGTAGTTATTTTGAGGGTGGGGACAAGGAAGGGGTTTGGATAAGGCAGGGGTTCAGATAGGGTTTTGGATAACCAGGAGTTTACTATACCAGGATTCTGGCCGCCCCGTGTGCAGGTATGTGAAGAAAGCTCCTCTTGCACCATTGCACACCTGTGCACTAGCAGCCAGGACACAGACACTGGGAAGGAGTTGACTAGCTCGCTTTAGAAACGTTCCTAAAAACGTAGAGAAGCACATGGGAAAAAGCACCAAGAATCACATTCGCCCTGCACTGCCCCCCCGGCTTCAGCCAGGCAAAGGGGAGCTGCAGAGCAGGGGCGTACATAATGACTAGCACCAAGAGAACTGATTTCCTCTGTGATCTCCAAAGGTCAAATGGAGGTGCTCATTATCTGAATACAGAGCCGGGGGTCTAATCCCAGTTCTCGTGGATTCCTTTAGTTGGGCTGTGGATCTTGTGCTTAATGAAAACTTCCAGGACTCTGTTTGACATTCCAGTGAAGTCAGTAGAGTTACACCAGGGATGAATTACACCCACGCTCATCCTGGTCTGTCCGGTGATGGGTCACTGAGAGCTCTTCCTTCCAAACCCGGAAGGTTGGCTACAAATACAACTGTGTAACAGTAGGGAAGGCGAAGGGGATTGTGGGAACCGGAGTCAATCTGACTAGAGCTGGTCAAAACTGACGGTTGAAACAGTTTTGCACCGAACAATGGCTTGTTCCTCAAAATGGAAATTTCCATGGGATTGATTTCTCCCCCACTTCCTCCCCCAGTATCCAAAAACTGAAACACTTTGGCCAAATCCCCCCATATCTTCAGTTTTGAATTGAAGAGTTTTCAGTTTGTTGGCTCTTTAATCTAGCAGAGGTGTAACAAGATCCAACGGCTGGAAGTTGATGTTGGACATGTTCAGACTGGAAAGAAAGCATATATTTTTAACGGTGAGCATCATTAGCCATTGGACCGGCTTACTAAGGGTTGCAGTTGGTTCTACATCACTAGCAATTCTAAATCAAGATTGGTTGTCTTCCTAAAAGATCTGCTCTGGTTCAAACAGGAATTATTTCAGGGACGTTCTCTGGTCTGTGTTATACAGAAAGTCAGACTAGCTGATCACAGTGGTCCTTTCTGGCCTCTATTTGGGGGGTGGGTTGTTGGTTTGTTTTGTTTTTTTAAAAAAAAACCAAAACTTTTAAAGGAAAATGGAGATGAAAACAGGATTTTTCATGGGAACAAAAACTGTCCCCACTAGTTCTGGCTCTGTTTTGGGGGTTCAGAATCCGTGAGTCTGGGGGTTGAGCAGAGCCCCAAAACTCACTCAAAACTGCTGAGTTTTTCATTCCATTTTGACGTGAAACCATATGAAGCTGCGAGTCCTCCTGCAGCACCTAAAGTAAGCCCCAGCTCCCTCAAAACCAGGCCTGCTTTCCCCAGAAAGCTTTACAAATCTCTGGTAAGCCAGGGCTGCATTTCAAGGGTCTGATGCTGCGAGATGAGCATCCCCAGGCCAATCTGTGATGTCTGTGAGCATTGAGGCTGACCCACCTCGTGTTCAGGCTCCAAGTCTTTATCAAAACTCCAACAACCAGGCAGCTGCAGGTGATGGCAAGATTTGCATGAAGTTTCACACTGCTCTTATCTAGGAGTTTACAGTCCAGTAGCTTCTGGTTTCAGGGCCAAATTCACTGCGGGGGCAACTCCACTGAACTCGCTGAAGGTGGCCCTTTTTGGGTAAAGGATCGTTAATGTGTTTACAGTTGCAATAAAATATCGCACCACCATCCCCATCCCTACATTTTCAGGGCCATGCAATTCCCACGGACTTCATGTGGTTAAAACCCCATGCAGCACTTTTAAACATAGTCATTACAGTCATGCAGCTCCCTTCTTCCACACTAATCAACCCACCAGTTGCTGCCTCCCCACAGGGACCATTTTTTCAAGGAGCAATTTTTCCCCTCTTGTCCCTCAGTGAAGATAACTTCATCAGTCTGAGCTATTCTAAATGGGTCTTGGAGCATCAGGTACAGATGGCCTTGGTGACAGATGCATTCCAATCCGGCCAGTGTCATTTTTGCAGGTATTGTCATGGTTTCTTCTCCCTTTGTGTATATAAATAAACCCTTCCCTTGAAATGCTCTATGAAGGACTTAGGGCAAAAATGAAGGACAAAGGATTTACAGAAAGGAACAAAGCAGTGTGGCACTGAATGATGAATCATCTTCCAGTTACTGCTTCTGGAAGGCTAACAGCAAGCAGGTTTCCCCATGTTGCGGGGGGGATATTTCACCAGAGAAATATGGGTTCTGTGTTGTTTCTAACTCTCTGGGAATGTTCCATCAGAGGAATGTTCTTTGCTTTGGAGACGCTCGTTGCATGACAAGTAGCGCATGTCGTGATACAAAGTGAAGGTGGGAAATCATAATGGGAAAAACCATCAATATTTTCGGACAAGCTCTCTCAGCTTTGAAATCCTCAGACACTGCTACTGGATGTGGTCTCCTTATCAGAATCAGATCTTGCACCTTGGAGGATCTTACCATTTAAACTCAGATGGGCTGGTAAAATCACACGTTAGAAATTCCCCATATCATGCTTGTAATACCTACTAACGAGTGCTGTGTTACACTGGCCTTTGGGCAAGAGGTGAAGTGGTTTCTTGGGTTTTTTTGTTTGTTATATATTGAATGATCTGAGCCACAGTATAGTTCAGTTTGTGTCTTCCGGCCTTTCTCTGTAGAGGTTTTATACATTACATGGCATCAATATTTATAGCGTGTGCTGCACTGGTTTTTTGCTTATGAAACTGAAATGTTAAAGCCAGTATTCAAGTGCACCGGCAGATTTGTGTGGTCAAAGCACTTACTTTATTTTTTAAATCTTGTATACCAGATGTGTATTTTTTACATAGAAACAAGAAAGAAAAAAGGAGCACAAAGGGGGGGAAAGTGCCACTCCAATATTTTATGCGTAAAATAACTGATAAAATGCTAAATGTTCTCATTTTGTTACGAATTAAAGAAACATGAACAAACTGGTGTTTTCCAATTTTCACTGGTTAACTTGTAGTAGTAGGGTTATCAGAAACTGGGATAATTCTAACAATGGACCTGATCCAGAGGACCCGACTCCCACTGATTTCAGTGAACCTGGCAACTCTCTGGGTCAGAAAAGCGGTATGGTAAAAAAGACTCCCAAACCACGGCTGATAATCGGCTTGGAGTATAACTGATGGAAAATTAGTGCACGATGCAAACAAATCACATGAGGGACTGTCTGAGAAAGGGAAAATTAAGGCTCCAGTCCTGCAAATGCTTAGGTACATGCTCAATTTTAAGCATGTGAGTAATCCCGTTGTTCTCAGGGGAACTACTCATGTGGTTAGTTACTCATGTGCATAAGCTTTTACAAAGTTGCAGATTGGGAACCTCACCTGTTTTGATTTTGATGCGAGTTTAACCAGGGTAAGGGTTTCTGGCCCGATGTATTATTTAAAATGAATGTAAGAGACAAGGCTGGATCTGGATTTCAGTTACCTCAGTGTAAATCCAGAGCAACTCGTTGGCATTTACATAGGGGTAGCAGAGCAGAGTCAAGCCTATTTTGTGTTTCTTGGAATTATCCAGACTTTTACTTACCTATCTTTTGTAAAGCACTTTGAGATCTATGAATGAAAAGGGCAATAAAGGAGTTAAGTATCATTTAATTCCACGAATATAGCCCATTGGCGTGACCCAGTTACAGCATAGCTAGGTTCCATTCAGATGGCATATGCTAACAATGTTGGAACTAGGTTAGGAGACAACAGCGTTGTAACTGGGTCGCATGAAGCCCTCTGTGTTTTTTCTAAAATCAACATAGTGTACCCAGTACTGTGTTCTACTTCGCTTATGTGAATTGGAAATAGAGGCAAATTTTGATATTGAGCCCGTCAAGCTAACATGCCATCGGAAGTTAGCCCTTGGATTATGGCCGGTGGTGAATTTTTTTACATTACTTGTTAGCTGTATTATTTATCATTGATTGCTCTACTTGATGGGAGAATGTGTTAGGTGCCTCACAATGAATGCACCCCTTGTCCCAGTGAGCTCATGCATGCATCAAAACACTGGGGAAAATGTCCTTTTAAAAGAAAAAGCTGAAAAGAATTGGTGTTACTTTTTCTAACGTACAAAATTTAGGCCCTGATTGGGCTTAGCTTTGCAGCCCATGCATAGTGCCATGGAGTTCTGTGGGACGACTCCGTTGGTAACATTAAGACAGTGCAGAAGGTTTTGCAGAATCGGGGGGGCGAAAGCTGTGTTAGCCTGACTTGCAAAGGTGCGCTGAGCACCTGCATTGCCTGTTGACGTCAGCGGATTTTGAAGACGCTCGGAATTTCTGGAAATCGGGCCCTATGCAAATCTTGGGGAGCAATTTTTCTGGGTGTGGAGAACAGTTGAAGTGAGCTGTGGCTCACGAAAGCTCATGCTCAAATAAATTGGTTAGTCTCTAAGGTGCCACAAGTACTCCTTTTCTTTTTGCGAATACAGACTAACACGGCTGTTCCTCTGAAACCTATTATTATTTTATTTAGCCACAAAAACCTGTTAGACAAATTCTCCGCTCAGTTACACTGGTGTAAATCTGGAGTATCAGCACTGACATCAAGAGAGCACAGTTTACCCTGGAGTAACACAGGAGAAGCTGCGTGGTTGGGACCCAGTGAAGAGCTATGTAGTCTGTAAATACACATTGTTAGGGGGCTTATTCCTTCACCCACTTACTTCCCTGGTCCTTCTCGCATGAACAGAGAGCAACAATACCTGAAGTCCAAAGGTGCAAACAATTCGATGTTTATTGGGGTGAACTTCCAGCAAGCATGATTCCAGTTTCCTTCCTTAGTGTCCCCCTTCCCAGCTCTGACACCACAGAGCCTTACCTGTGTCCCTGTTCCCATTCCTGCCCTTAGCCAAACATGATTTCAATTTCCCCACCCCCATTCCCTGTTCCCATTTCCCTCACCCACCCACCCACCCACTTCCTGATTGACTGCAGACTATATAGTAAAACTTGAGTTCTGCTTAGCTATACCTTAACCAATCATTTTCCTGAAATTTAACTAACCAATCCTAACATATTGTAACATGATTATGTAACCAATTATATCCCACCACCTTAATTAGTTTACACCCAGCAAAATTAATTATACAGCGGATAGGAACAATCACAGAACCAGACAGAGCTTACACAGACTAACAATAGCAAAGTGAAAAGGAGGACTTGTGGCACCTTAGAGCCTAACCAGTTTATTTGACAGGTTTCAGAGTAGCAGTCGTGTTAGTCTGTATTCGCAAAAAGAATAGGAGGACTTGTGGCACCTTAGAGACTAACCCATTTATTTGAGCATAAGCTTTCGTGAGCTACAGCTCACTTCATCGGATGCATACTGTGGAAAGTGTAGAAGATCTTATTATATACACACAAAAAGCATGAAAAAATACCTCCTCCTACCCCACTCTCCTGCTGGTAATAGCTTATCTAAAGTGATCATACCCGATGAAGTGAGCTGTAGCTCACGAAAGCTTATGCTCAAATAAATGGGTTAGTCTCTAAGGTGCCACAAGTCCTCCTTTTCTTTTTACAGTAACAGAAGGCTCTTACACTGGCAGACAGTGACTTTGATTCTTTCTTTTATACCTCTATAACTAGCCAAGTGATAAGAATACACCTAAATTCTTAGAGTATAGGCCTTTACAGACAGGCCTGAATATCTGTATCCTAACACATAGGCGAGGGAGATCTGGTAGTATAAACCTATCACGATCTACCAGTCATTCTGGAGTTCTAATCCCTCCTGCGACCTGGATTCCCTCAAAGGCACTGGACCAGTCGTAACCTCTCTTTTTATTTTCCCCATCCCAAAATAGGGATTTGATGCACCTCCCTGTGATGGGGTATGCCCAACCCTGCACCAGTAAGGAAAGGGTTAAGCAGGTGGTCCCAGGCACCCCACACCTGCAAAGCAAGCATGGCTTGGAGGAGAAATTCAAAAGGAGAACAGGTCAGCAGATACTGGAAGTGAACTGGAGCCTTGCAAGCAGTCCTTCTGCCTGCCTGGCTATAGTGAGGGGGACCAAACCCAAAGGAAAGAGACTTGGGATTCTCAGAAAGTCTGAGACTTTTTCTTTGATTTCCAGGTATTTGGCTTTACTTTACCTGTGGGGAAAGAGGGGATGTAGGAAGTGATCCAGACAGGCAGTAGTATAGCATTTTGGTGGGACAGGTCTTAGCTGCTTACACTGGGCCCGGTGGAGAGGGTGGTCCTGGGTTCCCCTGCCAACTCCTGGGGGGCGCTGAAGATAGGAATAGACACTTAATGTGGGGAGTCTAGGGCAGAAAAGGTCCTGAGGACTGAAAGGGCAAGACCTGAGGCCTCAAACCAGTGGGAGACTGGAGACACCCACCTAACCCAGAGAGTTACCGCAGTGCGGGACTCTTTATGTACCTGGAAAGGGCCAGACATAAAACACGTGACCTGGCTGGAGGGCTGAGTAGTGGAAGGGGAAGACCGTGGCTGTCAACAGGGGTGCTAGAAACCACGAGGGCCTGCCAAGGCCTGCCTGACCACCGGGTGGCGCCAACGGTGCGTGACCCCCTTCACGCTTGCTCCCAGGGGTGTTGTTTAATATACTGTGATTGCTTGTGATGGTCTCGTTCCAGTGGCAGCTTCCAGCGACTAAGTCTACCATGACCACATAGCTCGTGGTGGCTTTCTCTAGCGCTGATGCTAGAGACCTACCATTTTGCCCCTGAGGTTCCCAGATTTGATCGTGACTTCAGCGTGGAATTCACAGACTGCCGCTTGGAATTGCCCCGCTCTTTATCACCACCAGCAAAGCAGCTACGCTTCCTGGAAGTACCTCCACTGTGTAGCCTGATTTAGGGTGTTAATAATAATATTAATTTAAGTTATTGATTTTAATTTCAGTAATTAATCATATTAATAATTAATTATGAATATTAATTAGTATGGGTCCTAGGCTCGCCAATCTGTTTGATCAGAAGATGAAAGTTCTTGTCCCGAATCAGGCTCCACAGAATTTACAAATCTATAAACCTATTACAATAAATACTTAAAACTATAAGAAAAGATAGATAGATACAAGCAAGCAGGTTAGTCCTATAGGCTACATAAATATAATATATATACATATCTTCTCT